CTTTCTGCAGCATTACTTAAGCTATATTTTTCCCAAAACAAGGAAATGTCAATCTGAGTGGGTAAGATTGAGTGGGTAAAATTTCTTATTAAAATTGAGAAAACTGAACTCTGATCAGATAATATTTTTGTACTGATTTTTTTGGAAGTGAATGTCTTTCTGATCATTTTGGTGCTGTATTGAAAATATGCTTCAAACATTGTCACTATTATAACCACCATATGGGAGAGATTTCTAGCAGTTTTGTGATAACAGCTAAAGGGAAATTGTGCTCAGTGAAAAAACTTTGTGGGCCTTTATGGGAACATTTTCACATATGGCCAGAAGTGGAGACAGATAACTTTTCTCAGTTTATTAGAACACAGAGTTCACAATATCTGAAACCTCTGTGACTGCAAAGCAGGAGTAAATTACAGGGGTGAGGTGCCTGGCTAGATTTGATAGCTCTGGTAAACCTCTCTCATCTTCAAGTAGGGGAGTTTTTAAAACATCCAGATCCCAGAAGTTCCCATTCTAGGAGTTCGACCTGCCAAACTGTGTTCACCTAGATCAGTGGTTCTTAACCTTTGTTACTCAGATGCTTTTGAACTGCAACTCCCACAAACCCCAGTCAGCACACTTGGTGGTGAAGGCTTCTGGGAGTTGCAGTCCAAAACTCCTGAGTAACCCAAGGTTAAGAACCAGTTACCTAGATGAAGGCTGGGTTGGACAGACCACGTTTGTGCCTAGTTTCATGCTGAAAAAAGAAGTTGCTTCTGGTGCTTTCTGGGAATTTTCACTGTGCCCATCCCTAATTAGGACTGCAGTGGTTGACAGAATAGTCTTCAAGCATCTCTATACAGGGTTATCCAAGGCAGTATTTCCTATACATTTGCTTTATCACCTTTAATAAACCTCTCCCAGCACCATCAATTGTCAGAGATGCTGAAGATCTAACAAGAACTGGGATCCAGGGTTCTCTTAGCAAGTCTTTAAACTAGAAAGAAATGACCTTCTGCCCTCCAGATGCTTAGAACTACAACCCCCTTAAACTCTAGCAATCAAAGGAAACTGCCAGGGATTATGGGAGTAAAAGCCTAAAACATCAAGAGGACACCTTGCTTAATTATTTCAAATACTTGCTTCCGAGACAAAGTATTTTTAAAAATCCACTACATGCATCTTAAATGTAATATTGTGAGATTTCATTGATAGAGCAAGTAAAGCTTTACTTGATCAACTGGTGGGGCTATCAAGATCAATTTTAATTAGTGAGAATGCAGCTCAGAGGTGAACATATTTATTTAAAGATGTTTTGGTTCTACTACGTTAATGTAACATGGAGTGAAATAAAAACAATTTAAAAATAGAAAAATTTCTTATAACAATGAATGGCGGCTACCATATATTAAACTGTACACTATATTACTTGTTCTTTCTTATCTCAAAAGGCACATATATGAAGGTTTGGATGATATGAATTCAAATAAATTGATTAGTTGGTTAAAAGAAAGATTAATAATCAGTAAAGAGCCCTGCCAAATTAACTTATTGAAAAGCAACTTCTGAGGCATTTTCCAAACAAAATACAAACATGTGCTATAACACTGTAATTAAGTTAATGGAAATACCCTGTTGGGCGATCATAACATCCACAAGGAAATGATGACTTGACTTTATGACATCTTAAGCCATGTCACCACAAGAGGCATAATAGGAAAAACAGATTAGTTGTCAGAAACACCGTAGGAAGCAGAAGCTGAAATTGTAGAACAAGAGATCTTGCCCGACAAACATAAAAGAACCCATACAGCTTTCTTAAAACTGTTCTTTGTGAAATTGTTTTGTATTTTTTTTTTGCTTAATTACTGTCTAGTGGAGACATCAAATTCTTAAGCCAAAACAGTATAAATTCACCCCACTGAGTAGCTTCTCAGAAGGCAACTGACCATTAGAAGGGGCCAGTTATAAACTTGCCGGCAGCAACTGGCCCATGCAAGTTTCATATTCAGTTGTAATCAATGATGAGGATTTCTTAAATAAACCTCCCCAAAAGGACGAAAACATAACATAACCTTAATATAACTTAAACTTCATGTTAACATGTATGTTTAAAGCTTATCCCTTCATGAAGAAATGTAATAGACTTATTTCAACCTTTAATCCATGCCTCACAGGTCACTTCAGTCAGATATTTTCATGCACATTGCTCTTCCCATCAATTTCAGGATACTGTATTCCCAGACCAGAAAGGCAAGGCAGGGGAACAGTTTCAAAGGAGAGGAGGAACGGTGGCAAGAAAGCACCAGACAATTGATCTTAATGAGAGTGGATGAGAGAAAAGACTGACTGATTCAATCCTTTTATGTTGATACAGAATTTAAGAATATTTTATAATTTGCAATAAAAAGAGATGAAAAACATGTCACAAATTTAACTATGTTGCTCTGAAAGAATAGTTGTGCCTCATCTTTACTTCCATTCTGTCCTAAAATGACTCTGTCCATTACTTGCTAAGTAGCCCTTTGAAATAGCACTACCACAGAGTTATGCTTGACTCAAAACACTGATTTCTCACATTCTGTACTTTTGGGGATTATTCTGCACTCATAATTATGGTGCTGTGATCCTAAACTAATATCACTGTTCACACGTTACAGTGCACTTAGTAAATAGGTTTTGCCTTGGGAATTTGCTTAATTGCAACAGAAAGGTATCTTTCCAAATTTATCTCTGCCTACAATAATTTGTCACATAATTCCCAGAATCCTATTATAATCAGATAAACCAGAAGATATGTACAAGTGTGGTATGCAATCATTTCAGCTGTTTGTTGTATGCCTGGACACAGGTGAGGTGTGTATCTGGTTTAATACTTGGACATGTAGCAGATGACTACAAAACTGTAAAAAAAAAACACCTTGCACAATTCTCTTTATACATGTGTATTCCACAACCGGATTCTGGCCAATGAAAAACTTTCCATGAAAGACCTCTCAGAAGCACGTAACTCTCTAAAGGGTCACACTCACACATATTTACTGAAGTAATAATTATAATTTAAGTTATTCCAGAACCAAACTCTGCACCCAAACCAGTAAATGACCAATGTCATGGATCACTGCTACCTGCTCTTTCTTCAAAGAACAAAAGACAGTGTGCACAGGATTATTCCATAACTATTCTCTCAATGAAGTTGAGCAGATGACTTGTATATGGTTTAATGAGGTTTTGAACTCGGGTCTCTCCAGTTCTAGGAAACAGAAAAGTACCATCACAACAACCCCTCACTTGGATATGATCTCAAAAGATAGATGCCACTAGCTATAATACCTTGGAAAAATCGGAGCTGTAAGCCAATATAAGTTTGGGATAGATTGTTCTATTCGATCTACTTTCTCTAGAGAGGGCTCATCTGTACAGCAATGTTGTTTCTATTGTTCTACCATTTTTGCAGTGTATATGAACAGCTGATATCAGTAATTGCATTGACACCTAGGGAGGGGTATTTGTTGTGGGATGTCCTGGGTGCACTGGGTTGTCGTTGTACTGCCTGTCTGCTCACATCCAGAATTGCTCCCTCATTCCCAACATAGTCTCCTGTCTATATTATTTCCTCTCTCCCCGCCTACTTCATTTCCTCTCCTGTCCTCCTTGTTTTGCCCATCTGCAGGAGCTGGAGAGTGATCACATTAACATTGTCCTGAGACCCATAAGAGCAGATTCTGCACTGTAGAAAATCAGAGTATAACCAAACAAAAATATGCTACTACCTGGTGGTGGTTTCAAAACAAAACAAACACAAACAGGAAGCAAGAGGGTTTTTTTTTGTCCTGCTTTATGGACACTATAGTGTATTCAGTCCTGTGTTGTGTAGGCGCTGGGATGCAGTGCTGGTATAAGGGATGCAGGGAAAATTGGACAAATGCTCAGTGCTGATGGGCTCCGAGTCCACTTATTGCCCCAACACAAAGCATTCCTCTAACCTGCTCTTACACGACTTGATGACAATTTTGATTAATTAATCATCTCCCTAAAAAGTCTGACTCTGCTTTCTTTCTTCCCCAGTACTATCACCATGTCCATATATTGTTGCTGGCACACATCTGGGTGGGTTGACAACTTTATGCCCCAACACTGTTTCCAGAAAATTCATTTTTAGGAAACAAAGCACCCCACAGACCCCAAATTATTTTCTCATCTCTGCCACTTAACTATTATTAACTGTGAAAGTTCCTGAAATAGTCTCATTCTCCCTGCTGAACATGCCCAGACCTGTCCAAAGACCTGCTGCATAACTATTTAACGACCTCCTATCTTTCCATCACAGCAGAACCAAAAACCATTACAGCCTTCTTTCTTTTGCAGGACACAAAGAATCAAATAGCCCTCCCATCTTTCAGGCTTCCCCCAAGTTCCTTTTCCATCCTTCCAAGCATCCCAACCCAATCCCTGCCTCCACCCATGTCTAGCGATTCTTACCACTTCCTAAACCTATCCAAAGTGCCTCCCTTTGTCAACTCCGCACCCATCATCCTCAAATCTACTTTCCCCACCCCCTTAATGCTACAGCTATCTCAGGGCACCGTGGCAATCCTTCTGTGCAGACTGAACTTCATTGTCGCCCTACCTGAGAGCATCCCATTCCAGCAGAACCAGGCGCCCCTCTCATGGCAACCCCTCACTGGGTATCCGATGTCTTAGGCAAACAGGGCTTCCTAAGCAAAATCTCATTGTCTTCTTTGGGTCCGATCCCGCCGCCCTCGAGTATGCATGGGCCAGCAGAAGCAGCAGCAGCAGCCGCCTCCTCATCCTCCCTGGCCACCCCCTAATAGCAGGATCCACTGGATCCTCGGATCGTACCCTCCCCACCCCCAACACCCTCCCTTCCTCTGGGTTCACAGCAGGCTTTTGTGGGCGTGGTGCCGGTCTTTCCAGTCCACACCCGGCCTTCTTTTGTTGTTTCAACGCCGCCACCCCCCCCCAATCATCCCACAACAAAGCCACCCGGACTCACTCACCCTGCCGGCCCACGATCTCGGCCACATGCTCGGAGCTGGGCACCGGGACGCATTCGGTGGTGTTGACGCTCTTCCTCCGCAGCAGCGCCGCCTGCTCTCCGTTCAAAACCGGGCCCGGAGGCATCCCGCTGGTCGGGGCCGCCGCCGCCGCCACTCCTCCTCCGCTGCCGCTACCAGGAGGCCCGTAAGCTTGAGACAGCATCGCCGCC